TTGGCGGTGCGGCCGTCTTCGCGGTGCGGCCGTCTTCGCGGTGCGGTCGTCTTCACGGTGCGGTCATCTTCACGGTGCGGCCATCTTCGCGGTGCACTCGTCCCTCTCTCCGTCTTCACGGCCGTGGAGAAAGTGTCATTTCTCCTGTTCTGAGATTGAATCTATGATTCATGAATTGCCTGAGAAGATGCTTCATTCCTTCAGGCGAAAAACAGATACTTAACTTTTAAAACGATGTCACGTGACCTACACTCACACACAACGCACCACACACGCAGTTTTGCTCCGTCAATTACTGCACAGACTGAAACCTGCACATTACTGGATGTTAAATATGCATTTCTCACCTAGACCTTCAGTGGCGTCCTGTCTGAATAAATCCATATCTTAATGATGTCATTATGGAAACCACCAATGACATGTACTCTAACCAGCCGGTATACTGGACTGTCTCATCTGGCTACGACTGGATTCCAAAGTTGTGAGGATCAAAGAGAAAATACAACAACTGACACTTGAATAACTGTCAGTGGTCCACACCGTTAATGACAAGAATTGAATTGTATTTAATTTAATTTGTATCCTAGATTATTCTCCAGTATTCTAGATTATTCTTCCATAGTCCAGAATGTGTTTGATCCTCACTCTCTTTGTCCAGTCACAAACCTGACATTTGTTGTTATTTATTTGCATGAGTTCGATCTGAATGATCTCATCTTTTCAGTGTCAGTCCCTGACGTCGGCTCAGAGCTGCTCAGCTCATGTTATTGAACCGTACTGCTGTTTTCTAGTAGTGTTGTTTAATACAGTATACAATACAGTATAGTGTAGTATATATAGGACAATTGTATTATTTATTATTCTTCATTTATAGACTATTCTGCAAATGGGCACTTCAGACAAAACCATATTTGACTTTTTCAGTGTAGTAATCATTGGACTTTATTCAGTGATATATGACATTTTCAATCATCTTCTGTCCTCGTTCTGTTATATGAGGTGTGAGCACTGATCCTGACAACTGTGAATTACAGAGCCGTTGCATGACTTCATCTGTCACACACACACACACACACACACACACACAGACACACTGGCCAGACCTCTGTGTGTGTGTGTGAGTTTGTATGTTTCGTGGAGTTTCCTGGACCCAGCTCCTGCCTCCCCTCCGTCTCTGTGGGTTCGATTCCCTCAGGAGGACCAGGTGAGGGCGCCGGTTCATTTATCTTCCGAGAGCCTTCATGTAAATGAGCCGCTGCTCTACGTCATCACTTTGGCCGCGTGTTGCCCAATCAGTGCCGGAGGTTTTTGACCGAGGCGTCAGTGAACAGAGGAGAAAAGAAGTTTGACTGACGCTCCTGTGACGTCATCAGCCACAGAAGTTCGGTTTATAATGAACATTTACCGAGACTGACTCTTCTTTTTTCCCATGCTCCTTTGGGGCTCCGTACGGTTTGACCACAGACAGTCTTTTGGATGTAACCGAACTCCAGTTCAACTTGTCATAGCTGTAAAGCTCCAGCAGGGGTCGCCAATACTGCAGGTAAAGTTTTTCGGTCATATAATCTGCAATGACATCTAAGAACCACCAGATGGGGGTGTGTTCCTACTTGAATCTTTTAGAAAAATGGTTCCGTGTTTGGCAGCACTGAGTCTTTTTGGCCGGCAGGTGGCGCTAAGTATACATGAAAAGCTGTGATTGTGAATCGGTTCTCTGGAATATTCTGGAGGAGCGACAG